ACTTTTGGTTTCTAAACTTGAAAGGAATGTGGACTAGTCTCAGTCTTCCACCTTGGGAAGAGCTATGAAGATTTATTTTTGTGAACCTATCACAATTCTCATTCTCATGCAGCTATTGCTATAGAAATACCTGAGGTAAGATTGCTTTATGGCTTAACAAGAGCAAATACAGGTCTCTCTTGCCTTACAGGGTAAGCGGTTCCACACTCATTTCTGAGCAATGAATCTCAGTTTTCTAGTGTATTTTATGAAAAGATTTTTAGAGCTATAATGCTTCAGAGCAAAACTTTTCACCATAGGCTCAATGGAAAACTTAGAAAGGGTCCAGCCATCAATTTTCTGAGGGATACTGGATGAACACTACTCTTGTAATATGTTTCAGAGTCTAGTATTCTAGTCTATAATTTCTCGCAGTGACATTGCTTTCCTGTATTGAATATGACTTAAGTCTGCATTCTTATATTCCCAATTTAACTCATCTCCTTCTTTGGAATTAGGATTTTAATATGTAATATATTATATTTTATTACAACATTTTGCTAGCAAGTTCTATCATTAATGCGTATTTTACCCATGTCTAGCTGTTTAAGTCTGAGAGTTTGATTTGTAGAACAGTAGTACTCTCTTGGTCCTTTTTAACAAATTTTTTCTTTGTCTACAGAAAACTGTCTCACTCTTGCATGTCATAACTTTTAGAGTATTTAAAAGCCATTATAAAATCAACCTTGGCTTGTGGATTGTATCAATGTCAATTTCCTGGTTTTGAGAGTGGTCTTTGGTTATATAAGATGTTACCACAGGGAGACTAGGCAAATGGTGCATGGCACCTATCTGTTCTATCATTAAATCTTTGAAACTTTCTGTGACTCTCGAAGTGTTTTGAAATAAATAGTGAAAGGAAAGGTGTGGAATTAGAGGAGTAGAAGTAGGAGACAAACATTTGAGTGACAAACCCGACTGTCATCCACTGGATAAACAACCTCTGTTCTGTATGTTTGTTAAACTATAAAATGGAGAATGTATCTAGCAGTAGTAACAATTAAATGAGATTAAGTGTAATAGCGTGTTCATGGAGAGGCAATACGGCATTATAATTAAGATCCTATAAAGCTAGACTGCCTGCATTTAAATCTAGTCCATGCAATTTCTATGAGTCTTTGGCGCAGGAATTTGATTTTGCCTCAGTATCTTCACCTGAAAATTAGGATGAGATGATAATAACATCACTTATTTTGTAAGATATTTGTGATGATTAAGTGGGTTAATATATCTAAGGCACTTAGAACAGTACCTGGTACTTAGCAATACTACATGAGTGCTGGCCATATTGTTAAGAAATCACAATAGCTTGGTACATAGCTTAATAAATGTTTGCGTTTTTTGTTTTTCTTTTCTAATTCTGAGTTAAAGTACATAGGCAGTCATCAAAAGTAAGATGGGTAAAAGAATTGTTATATGGTCACATAATGTATACTGTGAAGTAATGAATGAACAATATCCACGACATATAAAATTTTGGATGAGTCTCACAAACATAATACCAAGTGAAAGAAATCCACCCAGAAGCGGCTTGATGTATGGTTGCAATTACATAAAGTAATTAATTGGGGAAATAAAACTTCTGCTTCTGACCATGTTGCTGTAACTGGTACTGAACCAACCCTGCCACAAAAATAATGAACACTTGCAAAAAAATATAGAAAAACTGTTTTTACATATTGGGCAACTAATAGCATAGACCATTCCCTAAAAGAAGGTATGCCTTAAGTTTAGCCCATATTTCTATCTCTGGGCACTTTTCAGACCCTGGGTTAGAGAAGGAGAGTCCAAAAAGGGTTTGGCAATATCACTAAGCTAAGGATGCAGAAACTGGAGTTCAAGGAGACACAGGTAGTTGGGATGAGAGTGAATGAGAAGAGGAAGCTATGCGGAGAAAAATTTGAAGAAATGTACATAGACTTCCAGTTGAGTCATTGACTGAATTTTAATCTTTCAATACATAAGCAAGATCCCATGATCCAAGGTGAAGAACAACTACCAAAAAAATAGCAGCTACCAGAAAGCTGTAAGTTTTTACAATTTTAGCAATTACCAGAGCTCACACAGAGTTGGTAGATGTTCCAATTCTTGTCACTTTGTATTTATTAACAAACCAGAGCATTCAGTAGAGGCCAGTGAAGTTTACTTTTTAGGAGTATGACTAATCCAGCCCCAGAGTAAAGGCCTGTTAAGACTAACACAAAGAAAATTTAAAAATAAACTACAAAAACTAAATTGCCTATCTTCTGAAATAAATTGGTACATTGTTTAAAAGAAAATTACAAAACCCAAACAACATAAAAAGTACAATATCAAATACCTAACCAAAAATTATTAGATATACCAAGAGGCAAAAAGATGAAACCCAGAGCCAAAAGAAAAATAAGTCTATAAAAACAGAAACATAAATAATAGAAATGATAATTTTTTTGGTTTTTTTTGTTGTTGTTTTGACAGTCTCTCTGTCAACAAGGCTGGAGTGGAGAGGCATTATCCTGGCTCACCGCCGCTTCCACCTCCTGGGTTCAATCTATTGTCCTGCCTCAGCCTCACAAGCAGCTGGGATTACAGATGCCCACCACCACACCCAGCTAATTTTTGCGTTTTTAGTAGAGACGTGGTCTCACCATGTTGGCCAGGGTGATCTCAAATTTCTGACCTCTAGTGATCCACCCACCTCAGCATCCCAAAGTTCTGGATCACAGACGTGAGCCACCACACCCAGCCATAGATAAAGTTTTAAAACAGCTTATATAAATATGTTCATGGATTTAAGGAAAGCATTAAAATAATGAGGGGAGAAGCTTAAAATTAGGAAAAAAAGGTAAACATTCAGACGTGAAATTGACAATACCTAAAATGAAAAATCACTGATAGTCTTGATAGCAAATCAAACACTGGAAAATAAAAGATCAGTAAATTTGAAGAAAGGGCAATAGAAACTATCCAGCATGAGTGAACAATTTTCATGACATGTAAAATTTTGGGTGATAAATTTTAATAAAGTACGTGCTTTCAGCCACATATACAAAGCTAAAAGAAACCAACAAAGCCACTGTGACCTGTGGGAAAATGTCAAGTGGTCTAAGATACATATAATTGGCATTTAGGATAGGTGAGGCAGAAAAAAGTGTTTAAAGATATAATGACCAAAATGTTTCTAAATTTTATAATATATAAACCCACAGATCCAAGAGATTCTACAAACACTAAGAAGGATAAAACCCAAAAGCAAAAAAACAAAAAAATCACACACACATATGTACACATACACATCAGGGCACAGAATAATCAAATTTCTTGATGTCAGCTGTAAGACAAAAATTGTAAACTTGATGGAAAAAACCTCACAAGACCTACAGAGAAAGGAAGGTAAGAATCAATACTAACTTCACATCAGAAATAATGAAAGCCCATAGGCAATGGAACAATATTTTAAGGTGCTGTAAGACATGAAAAATAAAAAGAATTAAGTTAGAATTCATAACCAAAAAAAAATTATCTTCTACAAATAGGGGAAAAATAAATACAACGATAGACAGTTCCAAGCTGAAAGGATTAATCACCAGCACACTTATACTGAAAAAAAAAAATTAAACAAAATGTTTAAGCTGAAGGAGAGTGACACAAACTGAAAATATAAATCTGTACAATGGAATAAAGAGAGGTAGAAAGGTAAATATAGAATAAATTCCAAAGACATTATTTTTTATATTTTTATATTACATTAAAATTTCTTATTTTTAAAGCAAAATAAGTAATATATATTTGAGGGTTTAAAACATACATATACATAAAAGTTTCAACAATAATAGCACAAAGGACAGAAAAAAATAAAAGTATACTAGTGTAAGATTTTAATATTACGATGAATGAATAATATTATTTAAATGTAAACTACGATAAAGTGAAAGATGCAGATTATAAACCTTAAATCAGACATTAAATAATTCATCAAATATGTAAAGCTAATCAAAACACACAAACACATGCACACACACACACACGCACACACACACACACAGAGGCAAAGAAAATCAGTGCTTTTCAAAGCTAAAATAGTGACTTTGCAGGAGTGGTGACTAGAAAAGTAGACAAGGGGAAATTTAAGGTAATGTTCTGGTTATGGTCTACTTATTTGCATATTTGCTATCTGGTTGTCTTCACTTAGTGATAACTGAGTGGTACAGTTAAGATATGCAGTTTTTCAAATTTACATAAGCATATATGTATGTGCGTGTGTATAAATATGTGTATACAACTATGCTTGAAAGAGTGTGGAAAAATGGCATCAAAAGATAAAAATAGGGAGTTGAGTGCAATGGCTCATGCCTGTAATCTTATCTACAGGTGGGAGAATTGCTTGAGCTCAGGTGTTTGAGGCTGCTGTGAGCTATGATTTGCAACACTGCAGCCTGAGTGACACAGCAAGCCCTATCTCTAATAATAATAATAATGATAATAAATATAAACTTCATTTATCAGCATAAGCTTCATCAAGGTCAAGCACTTTTGTTTTCCTCATTCCTGCTGTCATCTTGAATTCAAAACACTTTTGTAAGCAATGATATCAGCCATTTAGTTTATACCTAAAGAGCTGAACATCCTGGAAATTTAATCATGTTAATGCTATCTTTTTACATTATTGACTGGAAAAAAAATGTCTCCTTAACAGATTGTTTAAGATTATGAAACAAAAAGAAGCCAAAAAGAGACAAAACAAGTCTTTAAGGTGGATACCTAACGATTTCCCATTGAAACTCACAAAATTGCCTTTGTTTGATGAGAGGAATGAGCAGGAGTATTGTGGTAGAAAGAGACTCTCTGGTGAATCCTTCCGGGGCACTTTTCTGCTAAAGCTTTGACTTAAGTTTCTCAAAGCACTCACATAATAAGCAGATGTTATCATTTTTTGGCCCTCCAGAAGGTTAACAAGCAAAACACAAGAAAAACTGTTGCTATGATCTTTGTTCTTGACTGGTCTGGTTTTGCCTTGACTGAACCACTTCCACTTCTTGGTAGCCATTGTTTCGATTGTGCTTTGTCTTCAGGATCATGCTAGGAAAGCCATGTTTCATCTCCTGTTGCAGTTCTTTTATAACATGCTTCAGAGTCTTGATCCTAATTGTCTAAAATTTCCATTGAAATCTCCATTCTTTTCTGCAGTAGATCTGGGTACAATGGTTTTGGCACCCATCAAGTGGAAGTTTTGCTAAACTTTAATTTTTTCAGCCAGAATTATGTAAGTTGAACCAGTTGGGATGAGTATGGTGTTGCCTATTGTTTGTGCATTTAATCTTTGCTATTCATCAATTAGAGCATGAATGAGATAAATTTTTTCCTTGCAAGTTGAGGGTCTGCTGCTCTGCACTTTGTCTGGAATAATCTCTTCCCTTCTTAAAATGGGTTATCCATTTGTAAACTGCTGATTTACTTGGGACATTGTCTCCATAAACTTTTTGTGAAGTATCAGTGATTTCATCGTTCCTACACCCAAGCCTCACCTTACATTTGATATTTGCTCTTGCTTCAATGTTAGCAGAATTCATGTTGCTCTGATAGGGACTTATTCAAAATGTGTCTTATCCTTCTTAGCACCTCAAACTAGATCCTGCTCAGAAATGTCATAATGAGCTAGTATGAGTTTATTTGATGCAAAAAAAAATCAAAATCTATGTGTTAAGTTTTTTATAATATACATTTTCCATAAACCTTTTAAAGATTCTTCATGTGTGTATGTGTTTGTGCATATATACATACATATATGTACATAAGGCAAAGAGAGACAAATAATAGATCATCTTAGAAAATATCAAGACTATTGCATTGCCCACCTAACTCACAGATGCACAGCTATGTCCCAGTCATTCTTTACAAATAGCACCCCTTGGAATTAGACCTGAGCAAAATTGCATGGCTTTATCTGGTTACTGTGGAAACCACTATTTTATTCGAATTACTTTTCAAAAACTTTTAGTAGCCGTTTATATATTAAAGAACAACAAGCCAAGAAATGTTAATCCAAACTTTATCTTTTTTTTTTGAGAACGAGTTTTGCTCTTCTTGCCCAGGCTGGAGTGCGGTGGCATGATCTCAGCTCACTGCAACCTCCACCTCCTGGATTCAAGTGATTCTTCTGACTCAGCCTCGCAAGTAGCTGGGATTACAGGCACCAGTCACCTTGCCTGGCTAATTTTCGTATTTTTAATAGAGACAGGGTTTCACTCGAACTCCTGACCTCAAGTAATCAACCCACCTCTGATTCCCAAAGTACTGGGATTACAAGTGTTAGCCACTGTGCCCAATCAAACTTATTTTTAAGGAGCTTCTGACAACTGAGTTTTTATATAAAAACTCTTCAAGAAACCACTCATGAAATATTTTTTCTGTTAAATGTATGATTTTACTACTTTATGTTTTGTAAATTTGCTTGCTTTTACCCGGTTTTCATGACCAATTACATATTTTATGATATAGGATTTCAAGTATAGAATTTTAGTTTATAATTTATAACACTATTCTAAACCAATTATCTCACAATTGCATACATTGCCACGGTTGCCCCAAAGCTAATGAGGTCATAAGTAAAACCTTATCTATGAAACAGATAATATGTGCCTGTCAAGATCCTGTTCAAGCATCACCTCCTCTCTGAAGCCTTGCTGGATTCCAGTTAGGCAGAATTAATTACTATTTCTTGAAGCATCAACATATTGTGCACCTTCTATTAAAACACATGCCCTAGTGAATAGAGCTGATTTGTTTATTTCTCTGTCTCCCTGATGAGACTGTTTTAGCCATCTTTGTATGTTCAGCACCCAGTATAAAGTCTAACACATGAAAAGTGCTCAAAAATTGTTTGAAAATGAGGAAGAGAGAATGGGGAGCCAGGCTGGGGGAGGTAAATGGGTTGGAAAATAAAGAAACATCTTAACACTAGTAAATGAAGGGGAAGATATTCTTGGTTGGATGAAACAGTTGTTTTCCAGCAAGCTTAAATTTGCATCCATTGTCACAAAATAATGAGAATCTCTCTAGGTCATTTCACAGCATTGACTGCAAATACCTTGAAAGTATTTATCCAGTGTTAGACTGGTGCTTCATGTCCTGCTATGCCATATGAATTGTTTCCCTTATGCTCTGAGGACAGCAAAATATTTTACAAATATTATCTTGCCAAATGAGTATGTGTAAAAATTGTCCTCAGGGCTTCCAGTGATGAAAGAGTTTGCACACCAACAAAATAAACATGCTTCCCCAACCCCCAGGCAACACTATTCACTCCCTTCTCTGATTCTCAGAGCACATTATTCATTTCTCTAATATAGCATTCAGTGCAGCATGTCAGAGTCTGTTCTGCTTCCCCTGCCCAATTGTATTGTAAGCCTCTTGAGGACAGAGACTGTGTCTTTATCTTTTTATCTCCACTTCCTAACACAGAAACTGGCACATGGTAGGTGTTCCATACTCATTTCTTGAGTGATTAAATGAATAAGAAAATATCTTGTAGTACTTTTATTTGAATAGATCCTAAAAGTCCTGTCAATCTAGCTGTCTGGAGTCCAACTTTAAAAGCATCTCCAAAATAAGGAGCCAACAAAAGGTCTTTGTTAAGAGTTAGCTCCTGATCCTGCAGTGGCAACATGACAACCAGAAAAGGGCCTTAAATCATTCTCAGTATCCCAGGAACAATCTGATCACCCTGTGGGAGGCAGGCAGTCCTTTGACCTCTAGAAATATTTAGTAGTCATTGTATTTTTCAGGTGAAACTTGATAAGCTCAGAGATATTTGGAGAACCAGTAAAAAAGCAAAGAGGAGAATAAACAAAAGGATAGAAGTGGAAAGACAAATTGTTTTCTAATTAAGCACAGCATATGCCAGGTACTATGCAAGGTGCTCAGGATTCAGTGTTGAAATAAGATTGTGCTTCATGGCCTGGCTCACATTTTTTTGGGGTATGTGGGATCCTACAGTGCCTCCTGCTACAATCTCAAAATGTTCCCCAGAACAGAAAAAAATATGATTATTGAGACTACAGCAATTTGGTGTTCATTAAGCTTTAATATAATAAAATGTACATTTGACTTACCAATAGAACAAACAAGTCACTAAAACAAAAAGTCATAGTCATGGTTTCACTCCCAAACTGCTCTTCAAGATTGAAATCAGACTCAGCAGCTTCAGAGACAAAACTGCTCTACCCTACCCATTCGATCACAAAACAGACGCAAGAGCCTTGGCAGCCAGCAGAACAAGTCCTGCATTGGGGTTTTTGACAATGAGATCAATATGTGATCAAAGCAGAGTTATAACAGTGCAATTACTAGGCAATTAATAGACATATAGACCTATTTTCATGAACCCATAATGAGACCAGAGTATCAAGGAAAAGACGGTCATGCACAGGGCCACGTTGGTGGGAAGAGTGTTTAGGAAGCTCTAAAACAATTCTGAAAAAATGTTTAATATGCCAATTAAGCAGAACATTTACCAACCTAATTATAGCCTCTAGATTATTTTTGAAACCCTGAATATTGAAACTTATTTGAATGTGACTTTTTGTGAGATTTTCAAAGGAAATTTTCCAGTAATTCAAACACTCCGCAATGTTTTAAGTTTTCTAGATTTTTATTGCGAATAAGTATAAAACGAGGCCCAAAGAAATTCCTTTTCAGAAACGAAACTTTACATTAAAACTCCAATTAATTTTCATTTGGGATATTCATTCCTGCAGCAAATATGGATGTATTGTAATGTTGAATCTTTTCAGTGTGGGATACTGATGACTCTGACAGGTCCATCCCTTCAGAAATCTCCAGTTGAGTAAGGTCATAAGATGAGTACTCAAACAAGTAAAATAAGAGGTAGAATATTTCTACAAATTTTAAGAGAGATCCAGAGAAAATGCCATGGGACATCAGAGGATTAAAAACAATGTATCCAGGTAAAGACCACAAAATGAATCACAATTATTGGGGGAAAATAAACACTCTGTTTAATAACCATGACACAGGAAAAGTTTATTAGTAAGAATAATGCCAGTTGGGCATGGTGATTCACACCTGTAATCCGAGCACTTTGGGATGCCAAGGCAGGCAGATCACTTGAGGTCAGGAGTTAGAGACCAGCCTGGTCAACATGGTGAAACTCTGTCTCTACCAAAAATACAAAGAATATCCAGGCATCATGATGTGTGCCTGTAACCCCAGCTACTCAGGAGGCTGATGCAGGAGAATCGCTTGAACCCAGGTGGCAGAGGTTGCAGTGAGCTGAGATCACACCACTGCACTCAAGTCTGGGCAACAGAAAGAGACTCTGTCTCAAAAAAACAAAAAGTAATAAAATAATGCCTATATTCCAGATGTGTTATATGTCTAAAGGAGTGCATATGTAAGCCGGGTGGGGTGGCTCATGTCTGTCATCCCAGCACTTTGGGAGGCCAACGCAGGTGAATCACCTGAGGTCAGGAGTTAGAGACCAGCCCGGCCAACATGATGAAACCCCGTCTACTAAAAATACAAAAAAGTAGCCAGGCATGATGGCGGGTGCCTGTAATCTCAGCTACTCAGGAGGCTGAGGCAGAAGAATCATTTGAACCTGGGAGGCAGAGGCTGCAGTGAGCTGAGATTGCTCTACTGCACTGCAGCCTGGACAGCTAGAGTAAAACGTCATCTCTTAAACAAACAAACAACAAAAAAAAAGAGTGCTTCCTAATAATTGTTTGTTTAAAATAAGCTTAAAGTGCCCCAGTATTTATAAGGATTTTGTTGCATTTCACATTGTGCTAGCCATAAGTGGAGATCTAGAGTTGAATATGTAAATGCTCCTGGGACAAGGCAGGTCATGGAAGCATACGAAACCATCTATAATAAAGCAATAAAAAGCAGTCCAGATCTGGGCAAGTTGGAAAGCAACTATGTCTTCTAAAAGCATTCCATTTCAAGTTCCAAAGGCTTAAAATTCTGTATTTCAAAGATTCAGAGAAATCTCTGTCAAAATCCCAGCTGGTATTTTTGCAGAAATTGTAAAGTTAATCCTAAATTTCATATGGAAATGCAAAGAACCCAGAATAACCAAAACAAACTTGAAATAGAAACAAAGTTGGAGATTTTACACTTCTTGATTTCCAAAGTTACTACAAAGCTACAACAATTAAGACAGTATGGTACCAACTTAAAGAGATCATATATAGATCAGTGGAACAGAATTGAGAGTCCAGAAGTAAGCCCTCATATTTATGGTGTATTACTTCTTAACAAAGGTGTGAAGACAATTCAATATAGAAAGGATAGTTTTTTGAAAAAATGATGCTAACACAATTAGGTATCTACATTGCAAGAATAAATTTGTCCATTTACCTCATACCATGCACAAAAGTTAACTCAAAATAGCTCCTAGATCTAAATATATGAGCTAAAACTATAAATGTATTTAAAGAAAATATAGAGGCACATTTATGTAATCCTGTGTAACAAATATTTCTTAGATATTGCATCAAGAGTTCAATGAATAAAAGATAAAAATAATACATTGGACTTCATCAAAATTAGAAACATTGCACTTGATAAAGCACTACCAAGACAATAAAAAAAGACAAGTCATAGTTTAGGAAAATATTTGTAAATTTTATATCCAATAAATGACTTGTAACCAAAATAAAATAATTCTTATAACTCAATAATAACAAAACAAACCAATTTTAAAATGTGAAAAATTTCATAAACATTTCAGCAAAGAAGCTATATAAATGGCAAATAAGCCCATGAAAAGATTCCCAATATCATTGGGCATTAGGGAAAGATAAATTAAAACCATAATAAGATATGACTTTGTACCCACTAGAATGGCTGTAGTCATAAACAGCCAAAACCAGGTACTGCTATGGATGTAGAGAAATTGGACGTTGCAATGCAAAATGAAGCAGTCACACTGGAAAACAGTTTCTGTTTTCTTAAGTGTTAAATGTAGATTTAACATATGACCAAGCAGTTCCACTCCTCAGCATTTATACAAGATAAATAAAATCATATATCCACCCAAAGACTTGTGCATGACCATGATTACTCATAATGGTCAAAGAGTAGAAATAACACAACTGAGCAATGCATAAACAAGGTGTGGCATATCCATACAATGTAATACTACTTGGTAATGCAGAGGAATAAACTACTGAAATGTTTTACAACATGAATAAACCTATGGTAAGTGAAAAAAGCCAGGATGATTACAATTGTAAAAAATGACAAGAAATGAAAGTTGAATTTTTATTGGAGACCACATGTTAGATACATTGCAGCATTTACCTCCCTTCCACTGCCCTCCATTCTCTTATCAACACAATACCCTTCTCATCAGCCCCCAAATCCTTACCTCCTATATTTCAGTTCATCTCTCATAGTAATGATTTTGCCAAAGCATTCCTTTATTGTGTAAACTCTTATTTTATAATTGTGCTTTCATGATATATTGGTCAATAGCTGGAGGCTTCGAGCCTGAGAGACAGGAACTTGGATCCTAGATACTCACCAGATGTTTCTTAGAAAAATTATTTAACCTCTCAAAACCTAACCTATAAAACAGAGTTAATGTCACCTATTTCATAGAGTGGTGTAAAAATTAAACAAGCAATT